TTGTTTATCCGGTGACTTCTAATACCTGTGCAGTGTATTACAGTGCAGTGTGTATATGCAGTGAATATTCAAATCTCTTGTCTCCATTATTAACTGAAGGTCAGGGATAGATTAAAGTACAATAACTCCTGGTACTACATAAGCTAAGCAAAAGCAAATACCCTTTTCGATAGTACTGAATGTGAAGCTATCATTTCAAGTATAAATCATGCAAATGTTTACTGGAAAGCTTTATCCTGTTGTTCAGTGACCCTGAAAGGGACACATGGTGTTTTACAGGTAACAAGTTACACTGATGCTTGTGATGCTGTTCTTAGGAAAGCTAGGGCAACTGCTAGATAAACCCATAAAGTATTCTCAAGTAAGAGCAGTATGATTTATGGCATCTCCTGTTGTACTATGATGGAGCATACATAGTGCAGTCAGATACTGAAGGCTATAGAACCAGTGAGTACCAAAGAAGCTTCATCTATAGACAGCATGTGTTCCATCATGAAAGATGGTGTTCTGTTGTCCTAGTTTTTTAAAGAGGTTAAAAGGCTGCTTGTTTTAGTCATCTTGAGAAGAATATAACACTGGGGGAAGGAATAACTTCAATCCCATTGCAAAAGTGAGTAGTGTTTCTTGATCAAGCTCAAATGAAAAACTGAGGTATTAATGTAACAGTTCAGGAAGCTGCCTCTTGGAACAGGTGGATGCTGGCTTCTCACTCCAAATTCTTAGTTTTGGGATAGGTTTCTTCTACTAACACAATACTGTAGTTCAAACAGAAGTTTGAGGCAGCATACTTTGAGTTTCAGTTAACACCCATTTCTTTCATGCTCTTAGTCATCACTGTTCAAAATCAGGGGAAGCAGAGGGTAAGCATGTCATCTTATATTATAGATTCACTGATACCGAAGAGGTTACCCTCAAAATACTTGCACTTTCAATGTTTGGAAAATGAGATTACTATATATCTCACTTTGCTGGTGCTTTTTTAACAACAACAAAAAATGTTTTAAAATCTGTCATGATGCTGTATGAAAAAGTGTAAACCTTCTTTAAAATTTGGTAAGATTATAATTAGTTGAGAATATAATTAGTGTGAAATAGTAGGTCTTCAGAGAATTCTTCTAGTTGACCATCAGTGGTCTTCAGCATGGTATAGCAAGTTACACTACTGATGAGGGATATCTGGTCAAGTGGCTTATTAGCTCCGTTTTGCCTTTTGGATCTGCTCTAAAGGGTTTGTAGTTTTAGTTGGTTTTTTGAGGAAGGGTATTTTTGTTGTTTACAAAAGGTTTTTGCAAGTTGTAGAAGCAAGTGCGAGCTGTGTTCTTGTTGCATGGAGACGCAAAAGTTCTGAAGCATATGAGAACATAAGTTCTCATATGGTTGGTCATAGAGTAGGTAGGACTTGGAACTTGCCTGAGTTAAAAGCAGTGCAGGAAAAATAGTCCTTTGGATGGCAGTTATAGCACAGATTATGATGTTAGCAATGTGTGGAAAACAAAAGTGCTTCTGTCTCTGCAGTTTGAGTATCCTTTTTGGGAAACTTTATCTTAGTATTCACTTCTAATGTACTTCTGCTAAGATAAACATTGTTATTATGATTGTTACTGGAGAATACAGACAGATACTTGGTTTTCTTGAGTCCCCAACTTTGCAAACTCAAGGTTAAGTGTAATACTAATTTTTCCCAGTTGAGAAGCATGCATATATATAAAAAAGTCACAGAGGTCTTAAACTGTTTCTGTTTGTTTGGGTTTTTTTAAGACACAAAACCCTCTCAACTCTGCCCTCCCCCACCAACAGTTATGATAAAGTGTATGTTGTGGAGTTCTACATGGTAGTTATCAAACAAACTGTATTTCAGTATCATCTAAACAGCAATTTTAAGGGTTTTTTTGTATCCAATTAAAAAAAAAAAAGAAGGCGCTCTGTGGTAATATGTGGAAACTTTCCATGGCATAAACTTTCTGTTCTTGAATCAACTCTGTTTTTCTTCCAACATCTTCTAATACAGTACTCTGCAGCTTGTAGGAAATAAGCTCCCTTAGGAATCATACAGGAAACAGTTTGATGGGTAAATAATCTTAAACATTTTAAAGCTCTTTCTTTTTCTGCACCAGAATAAACTGGGGTTCTTCTGCAGTGAAGTAAAAATTAGGAAGAAGTTTCTGCTTTTTAACAGCTAGTAATTAGTACAGTGCTTAAAGCACTCCAGGCATGGAAAAAGCAGTGCTTAAATGCTTGTTAAAGAAGGGAAGATTTTGGTCCAGGTCTTCCACATCACAGAAGTAGCATCTCTAACTAGTTCTAATGGGGAATTTCA